GTTCCAGCCTTTAAGCTATCTGTACATGACCAGAAGTAGGTGAAGTGTTGAGTTTTGAGGTGCTTTTGGGGCATTGTTTTGCTAGACAGTTTTGTTTCTGAAATATAAATTATGTCTAGAGCTTGTTGTAGGCAGTAGTGTTCCTATGTTTCTTTTTTGGTATTTGTATTGAGGCCTCGTATATTGTGCATACAAATTGAGAGAGTTAGTGGGTGTAGGGTGGGTGTAGGTTGAGGATATTAGGATGGGAGGTATTTAGGTTTAGTATATCGTGTGTAGGGGGGTTAGAGGGAGAAGGATTAGTAGTGTGTTGCATTATGAATTTAAAGTGTATCCATTTGGTCAGAACTGACCAATGGGAGGGTGTTGGTGGCTATAGTGAAGATTATTGTAGCTGTGGTCTCTGTGGGTTCAGTAATAGGTAGTTCTGTCATGGTCATGGTTATGTCCATGTCTGGAATAGGTATGAGCACTAGAGATACCTCTTCCAAAGCCAGGGTATTACTTGTGAGTGAAATTATAGTACTAGGAGTATTGGGGTGCTCTGTGGATATATTGTCAAATATGCTCCACTTGGGTGGAGGGAGAGGTGGGAGTTTTAATAGGAAGTCAGAGATTGATTTGATAGTGTAGTGCTATTTGAGTATTTTTATTGTAGGTGTGATGTCGAGTTGGTTCTAGATTGGTAGAGAGATGATGACTTCATGTTTGGCAAGGTCCTTAATGATTTCCTCGATATTGCTGGGGATGTTAGGAAGGTTTGGATTAGTAATTGATTCAGTAGTACTTTGTGGATGAGCATTTTTGATTTGGATCTAGCTAGTAGGAAGCTGGGTGAAGTAGTAGTTGCTACGTAGTAATTTGGTAGTGGCAGAGAGCTGTTGTGGGTAGTGATCAGCAGAAAGATATTGAAGCTTTCAAGAACTTCCTCGACTGTAGGGAGAGAAGGCTTGTTGGTAAGATTCAGTTGCATGATTTCAGGTGGAAGAGGATACTAGATTCAGTAGTGTGTAGAAGCTTGCTTGATGAATTCTTTTGCTTCTGCGTCATTTGTAATAGGAAAAGTGAATTTCGTAGTGGTTTTGATTTTGCTAATATCTTTAGACAATAGGGTTTAATAACAAAGAAGTCATTTGGTAGGAGTTTGAAGGTATAGTATTCTCTAAGCATAGTGATAACATCTGTGAGAGGAATCATAGAGGTAGTTAGGTTGAATGGAAAATATTTTCAAACTACAGAGTTGAGTTCTTGATAAGTTGAAGGAAGGGGCTTTTTGGGGGTGGAAGTTTGAAGTAGGTATTAGGATTTTGGTTACTGTGTAATAGTCTGCTTGTTTTCTTTTATATATAGCTAGGTGCTGAAAAGAGGATTGATGTGAGATCAGAAATAGCTGGCGAAGGCTAGCAGGGAGAGTACTATAGTGTGAAGGTAGGGGAGGAAGTTTAGCGAAGTAGGTTGCTGCTAACTCTGGAAATTTGAAGATTCTTCTCAGAGCATTGACTATTGCACTTGTATGTAACTATTGTGTAATTGGAAGCTTAAACAGGAGAATGTTTTGAATTTCTATAGGGATTTGGTTCAGCATGTCTGGAAGTGGCATTAGTTTGCTTTCTAGTGCATTGTTGATTTAGGTTTTAATTTCTTTGGGGTCTGTTCATCTGGGTTTTTGATTTGTAGGAAGCCTCTAGCATACTGAATTACTCTGTATATTTGCCTTGGTGGGATGCTTGCGAAGTTGAGGTTAGAGATATATTGCAAAATAAGCATTCTCTTAAGCATTGTGTGGATAGTATTGCAGGTTGTAGTGTTGGTAAATGTAATTTCATTATCTTTTTTATATGCTATAAGGGCTTTATCAAAGAGGTTGGTATATTCTTTTTGGTGTATGGGTGTGGTTTTGGAGTTGCGGGTAAATATTGTAAAGAATCTGGTGTCAAGGTGTACAAATTTTAAAAGGATTGCTTCTGGCAATTTAAATTGAGTAGGTATAGTAGTTAGCTTGTAGCAGGTGAGTTTGTATATGCCTTCTGGGGTAGTAAGTGCAGTTGCAATAGTATTATATATCCAAATCTCTGTATTGAAGGAGGTGTTGAGGGTGTGAAAATTTTGCTATATACAATTATAACTCATTTCATGTTGTCAAGAGCATTAGTAGCCAGTAGTTTGAGGTTGGTTTTGGTAACTTGGCTGTATAATAATTTGGTTATAGAAGCCTGGTTGTTTGTAGGAGGTCTGGAGGTGGTAAAAAAGCTACCAGGAAGCACTTTGGCAGCCTTGTTGGAGGTTGTAATTAATAGTAAAATATTTCGAGCTCTTTTATAATTAATACTAGCATTGGGTGTGGTAATTTGGCCTGGAGGTGTTCTAGGTCTGGGTGTAGAGTGGGTAGTAGTGATAGTATTACTGGCAGTATTGGTTGGAGATGTGGTGATAGTTGGGTAGAGGTTTGTGTCTTTGTCTGCATTACTGTTTGTAGCTGTGCTTGTGTTTGTTTGGTTACTAGCTAGATTATATGGTGGTACTAGTTCCTTGAGGGCTAAGAGGTGTATGTTGTATTCACTATTGCTTTTGTTGAACTTGTTGTTAGATTCGATTTGTGTAATAAAGTTGTATGGAATTCTGGGCAGATCAGGAATACTTTTAGCCTTGGTATATAGTTTCATACTACCTTTGTAGACCTGTATGGTTGTATTAAGGTTACAAGTGCGGGTTGATTTAGAAAATTTGATGCTAATGTTGACAATATTGTTTTTCTGTGTCATGAGGTTGAAAAGAATAATTGGATAATATCTTCATGTTTGCAGATCCATTGGGGAGGGTAATTTGCCAAATTTGGGATTCTTCCTGATTTGGTAATATTAATGTAGAAGAGAAAGTCGTTGGCGTGTTCTGGAATGGAGAAGCTGACTATAAATATGAGGTTGGACCAATCTTTAATAGTAATTTTGATAAAATTTTTTGTATGTTCTGTTTCTGGGATTGGTGATATGGTGCCAGATAGATTGTTACTAGGTTGTGCAAATTTGCAGGATAAGGAAAAATAGCTAAAGAAAAAAGAGAAGCTTTTGGAAGTCATATTTTTGCTAGGGGGCTGAGGTTTAGTAATTTGGGTATTGTGATAGTTCTTGATGTTTTTGTATAGCAGGTTGGTAGTGCTAGAAGCAGGGCTGTTTAAATGTTAACTATTCTTATAGCCACTTTCGAGGGAGGATAGAAAAACTGGTTTTTTGTCTTTTGATGAGTTTATTGCTATTTACTTGATGAGGAAAGAGCTTTTTTTTAAAAAAAAAAATACACCTCTTTTAAATACAACTAGAGAGCCTGAGTAACTTTACTTAAGAGCTGAATAACTGTTTACTTAGTAGATTTTTGAAATAATCTTGCGGAAAGTTTTTTTTTCTTGTTTCTATTTTGGTAAAAGTGATCTATGGGAAGAGTTTCTATTATATTATAAAAAAAAATTTTTGCTTCTAAGTAAAGTCTTGATTTTTATTAGTAAATTACTAAAGATATAATAATGAAAGTTGTAATCCCTTGTATAAACTAAAATATTGTTTTAAAAACTATGTTTAAAATTAATATTTAAAGAGTTCATTAAGAATTTGTAAATAATTTTTTTGATTAAAAAATTTTTCTAAACTTGTCTATTTTTAGCTTATAAGTAACTTAAACTTTTTTTCTTATATTATAAAAACTAATTTTGCAAAAAAGTAATCTTTATTTTTAAATATAATTGTACAAAGTTTTATTTAAATATTTTAGCATTTTAAAAAAATAAATTAGAGCTAAAAAAGTACAAAAATATAGGCAAATTTGCTTGTGTTGGTCTACATATTAAGGAATATGATTACCAAGTAGAAATATTATAGTCTTACAAGAACTATAGTTCAGACTAGTCTTTTGGACCAGTTTAACCAGTTTTTGTTTTTAAATTGAGGACTAGTTTGGACCAGTTCAAAACCAATAGAGTGATCTTATTGGCTAAAAAAAACAAAAAATATATATCAATAATATATTTATAAATTTCTAATATCAGTATAATTAAATAACTTATGGATTTTTGATTGATAACTTATTAATTTAATTATTGTAATAATGCAATAAAATTGTTTTAATAATATTACAGCTTAAGCTATAATTATCTAAAAACTTATAACACAACTAGTTACAATAAATTATTAGGATAATTCTACTATATCACTAGGTTATTGGCAATTTTTTCAATTATTACAAGATTTATGATAATAGCTAGGGATCCAAACTATAATCTGAGTAACCGTGTACCTGATTACCTGACCCGTAAAATTTATCAACCAGATTTTTTTTTTAACAAACCGGTTTAAAATAATAGACGGGTCACCCGCTTTTCAGTGGGTGACCCGCCTTGCAGCAGGTGACCCGCTTTGTAGCAGGTGACCCGGTTGGTAAATAGATGATCGATCAACCGATTTATATTATCAACCAGTTATCAACCGGTTCAAAAAATAAAGTTTAAAAATAAAATTGCAGAAATGTTTAAAGTTAAATAGTAATCAGAAAAGTAGAAAAATTCGTCACGTATTTTTCTTTGTCGCAATAAAAGTTTTGTAAGAACCCCTTACTTTTTAATATATAAATTTAGATTTATTATTTTTTTTTTTTTGGACTAAATTTTTTAAAAAATCGATTTCTCTTTCGCTATAAAGGAAATTATAGAACTTTTTGAACAGACAGTTAAGTGTTTTTTTTATTTTATAAACATTTTCGCTCACCATTGTTAACCGGATTATAACCCAAGCATTATTATAAACATAGCCACGTTGTCCACCTGTAGCTCAAAAAAAAAAAAGGGCTACCCTTAAAGTTTTGCCGAATTAAATAACTATTATAAGTGTAAGGAAGGTTTAATATACCTTATACTGTAGCAGCCATTTAACAGGTAAATCTTTCAAATCAACATAGTGCGTATAAAAAGATTACTAATGAATATGATAAAGATAATTATAGGTAAATCTATCCAAATGAGCTCTTCAGTATCCAACTATATGTTAGATGATGATGATACATATTCTGTGCGTGAGGAACCTGATGAATCACTTACATGTAAAACAAAAAAGAGAAAGAATCGTGAAAATCGTAGTATTGCATGGGATTATTTTGAAACTGAAACAACGGAAAAAGGTGACTTTGATGTTTGTCAAATATGTAAAAAGAAAAATATAGATGTTAAGTATGCACATGACTCTTTAACGGGAAACATGCTTGGCCATCTTTGGTCTAAGCATCGAATCGATAAAGACCACCCTGAAGAAACAACTACTGATAGTCCGATTATAAAAGCCATGCATGTCATCAATAAACAGAAACAAGAAAAAATAGCACAATTGTTGGTTGAATTTATTATTGACGATTGCCAACCTCTTCATATTTTACGTAATCAAGCTTTTCGTCGACTTTTAAACTATATGGAAATGGGGTTTCATATTCCTTGTGAACAAACAGTGAAAAAAATGATTGATAAAGCTTACGATTGGAGTCGTGATCAATTATTTGGTATGATGAACATCAGTGGTGGATTTGTTATTTTAACAACGGATATGTGGAGTTCAAGAACAAACCAGGGGTATATTGGAGTAATGGCAACATGGATTGATTCAAACTTAGAATTAAAAGAGGCTTTATTAGCAATCTGACTACTTCTATCACCACATACAGCTGAAGCTATCAAAGAATTTCTTAACCAGGTTATCACAGATTGGGGACTTACTGGACGAGTTTTCTGTATTACAACTAACAACAGAGCTAATGTTAAAAAGGCAATTAGTTTAATTGATAATATTACATAATTATCTTGTTCAGCACACACCCTTCAACTTAGTGTACTAAAAGGTTTTAAACCAGCAATACAGTTAATTAAAAGAGCAAAGAATTTAATTCTTTTTTTTTCTCAAAGTCCTAAACAGTCTGAATGACTTTTAGATGCACAAGAGAAATGTAGATATTCAAAATTTTATCAAACAATTGATGATGTATCGACAAGATGGAACTCTTCATATTTGGCCTGGATTCGACTTAAAGAGTTACGAAAAGCGATCGATTATCTTGTTTTAATGTTGCTCTCAGAATCAGAACGATGTGATAGACTTGATGGCGAATATTTGAAATTAATCACCCTAACTAAAAATGAATAGCAATTGTTAGACGGTCTAATCTCACTATTAAAACCATTTTATGAAGCCACCAACATATTTTCTGATTCAAGTTATCCTTTGCTCAATCTCGTTTATCCAACAATGAAATTACTGATTAAGGGGTTTGCCCCTTTTTATGAAACTGAAGATGATTACACTGAATTATTATTTGGACCTGTCGGGCATGTTAAAAAATTTATTATTAACTAAATTTTAGAATAAATATTACTTAGCAAATTTAAAATTTCAAAGTTTTTTTTTTTTTACTACACAAATCTAAATCTTATTTTATATTTTATTTTTTTTTTCTAGCCAAAGCCAACCAATCGATAACGAAGGTCCTGACGAACTAGATATAGAAAACGAATTTGATACATTAGTAACTTCGGAGCAACTTCGGCAACCATTGCAAGCATTACAAGGATGAGTAAAAAATCAGTATAATGGTAAAAATAGAAAGGATACAAATTTATATAATAATCCACGGTTTAAAGGTTATCGGTTAATAGAACCCCCAGTTACTACTGAAGAACTTTGTGATTTAGTTAAGGCTGCAAGTTATCTTTCTCTTCAAGAATATTAGAAAGTTCCTGAGGAAATTGGTCTTATAGCATCATTCTTGGACCCACGAATTAAAAATTTGAAGTTTCTTAATGATGAAACTATGAAAACAACCACGATCAATAGGGTGCGAATTCTTTGTGATAAAGGAAATAATCACCCACCTTCAGTTGGGCCTGATAAGTCGTCTAGCATGCAAACTTATGAACCTACAACAAATAATGACTTGATTGCAGCTTTATACAATAGTGAAGAGCCAGATGATGAAATTCTTAATGAAGGCGAAGTCGATCGTTATCTCCGTGAACCTGTTGAGAAAAGGGGCTGTAACCCATTGGTATGGTGGAAAGATAGATCTGATGTATATCCTATATTATCAAATTTAGCACAAAAATATTTGTCAGTATCGGCAACATCGGTTCCCTCAGAGTGGTTATTTTCAGATGCGGGATTACACATCACAGCATTATGTAACCAAATTTGGTTGAACAAATGATATTCCTCAAAATAATATGCAGCACTTTTCTATTTTCAAGCCGGATGAATAGATGAAATATGTCTAAAATTGAACTATCGGATGCAATAAGGACAAAATCATAAGATGTCGATATGATATTAATCATTCTCAATTATAATATAAATTGAAAGTTGTGGCTGAATAATGTTAAAGAAAAAAAAATTAGAATTACATAGTAGAACATTTAACATTTTATTGTCATTTACAAAATTCTGAAATTTAATCATTTTTTTGAGCTAATAATAAATAATCGTATTGCTGTATGAACTGAATTAAAACTTTTTTGTTATTTTTTCTATATGTATTCTAGTTTAAGAGAGAGATTGAAAATACCAGTGATCAAAGATATTGCGAGGGTTTGCATAGCATGTTTTTATTAAGTTGGAGCATTATATTTAAATCAATTAGTGTGGAAAGGATTAAAGAGAACGTCATTAAATAAGATTTGTTTTTATATTTGTAATATTTTATATAAGTTTGCATATCTTATTTTACAAATATAATACTTTAATTGGCGCCTTCATTCAATATTTTCTTTACAGTTTTTCACATTTTGGTGTATTTCTTTTTTTTTTTTTGAATTTAAAAATTCATTTATTGAAGCATCTACAGTATTTATTTCTTAAATTTATTGCGAGAATAAATTTAAATTATTCGTTATTAGATAACAATTGATAGTTGATAAAAACTGATTTAAATTTTTTGATAATCACGTATCGCTATATGTATCTAAAAAGAATCTTCGGGTAATCGGGCATTCAGGTCACCGAATTTAGTCAAGTATTCAGGTCATCCGGATGAATTCGGGTATCCGGGTCACCCGAATTCATTCAGGTATCTGGGTCACCTGAATTTAGTCAAGTATCCGGGTCACCCGAATGAATTCGGGTATCCAGGTCACCCGAATTCATTCGGGTATCTGGGTTACCCAAATTTAGTCAGGTATCCGGGTCACCCGAATTCAGTCAGGTTACCTGATTTAATTCAGATATCCGGTTGGTTGCAAGTCTTGACCCGACGGGTCATGGGTTTAAAATTTAAAACCGGTTTGGAACCCTAATAATAGCTATAAAGTATTTTTTATATGTAGCTTATTTTGAAACTAATCAATAAACTGATTTATAAACTGGTTCTAGACCATGGTTTAGTTTGTAGTTCTCTAGTAGGATCGGTCTTTAGAACCAAGATAAGACTGGAACAGACTATAATATCCCTACTACCAAGTAGGGTTTGAAGCATGCTTTAAAAATTAGATATACATGTTCTGAGTTAAGAGTATGCCTATAAATAGGGCATGCTTATATGATAATAAACTAATTATAAATATAAAAACAATAATTAAGTAGGGAAAAAAATTAAAATATTTAAATACAAGTATGTCTTGAGCTAAAATATACTTTTTATATCTATAAAAATATTCTTTTTTAAATTATATAATTAATATATAGTTTATAATTTTTTTTTTTTTTGGTGTTAAATGTAACCTCTTTGATTATAGCTTTTTATTAGAAGTTAAATTTCAGTTACAATGATAATACAACTAGCTACATGTATAACTTTTAGTTATCTATTTAAGTAGTCTGCCTATTTTGGGTTTTACACTAGCTACTATACTTGCAATTTAACTAGGAGATTATCTATTTAAATTCTATAGTTCTTTTTACAAACAAAGGTATGACTAGCTATATGTGCAACTTTTGGTTGCCTATTTAAGTAGTTCATCTTAGATTTTATACTAGCTGCTATACCTGCAACTCAACTAGAGGATTACCTATTTAAACCCTCTGATCATAATCTAATTCTACCTAGTACCCAAATTTCGTTTGTGCCTTAGGACTTACCAACTTGGTCTATCCTTGAAGTAAACCTACCTGTGCCTTTTATATTCTATTTTGGCTGACCTGGTACCACAGTAGCCAAGGCTCCTATTTACAGTTAGGGTTGCTTCTATTTAATTGCTGTGCCTTTATAAAGTTCACTTCAATCCCAGCATCTCTATTCAAACTTCTCTTTTCTTCAGATTCTTAACCGATCTCTTACTTACTTCTAGCTAGCAACCCAGAAGGGTTGGTCTTTCTAGGCATTAGGTACCCTATAAGTATTCTTCTCTTGATACACGTTTCTAGAGTATATGTTCTTTTTCTCTAGTTTTGGTAACCCGGCGGTTCAGCTAGTATGTCCCCCTACTTAAGAACCTGGTCGCTTGGTTCTCCAGTCTCAGTCTCCAGTTCCAAGTTTGGTTTTCTTGTATCATCAAAAGTTTCTATTTCCTTCTCACTCAGAACTTTCTAAACAGGTTTTGATTATCACAGTTTCTTGGCCTTTTATATACTAAAGCTCTCATATAAACATAGTGTTATCAAGATTACAGATTCTGGAACCCAACTAATCGACTATGACTATCACTATATTATAGGCTTATTTTTCAAAAAATATCATTTGTGGAATTTGAACTTTGAACCTGCCGCGTGGTAAGATAACAACTAACCTATTTCACTAAGCTGCCATACCTATTAGTTTACAATTTTTTAAAAATTTTATATATTATTTAGTATGAAATATTATATTAATAATACCATGTTGTTATAATACCCTATATAGTTTAAGTTTGAGTTAAATTAAGATTAGGGTGCAGCTTTAAAATATATAGGTGTTTTTTATATAATATAATATATATTAAATATAAGGTCCTGATTTCAGTTTTTGTGAGATTTTCATGAATTCTGAATATTTTTATTTAAGATACCTGATCTTATTTACTTAGTACATTTTTGAAATATAGCATAGAGTTAATATAGGGTGTTATATAACATGGTATTATAAATATAACTTTCTTATTTGGTATATATATATAGTATCTATGTTTTTAGTCTTATCTAAACCTATTAGCCAATCAAAATAACTTTAAATATTACATAACAAGGGTATACTCTTTGGACTTTAGATATGTTTATAGATATGCTTTATACTTCTGTACTCTAAACTCTACTACTAAGCAATCAATTGATACAATAACAAATACAACAATTAGCAAGTTAATTTACTATTCAACAATCTAATCAATAACAATTCTCTACAATAGAAACTAAATTACCAATACAAGAATACTTTAAACTAAAAAAAAAAGCCAAATTTATACAAATACAAATATCTAATTAATTAGAATCTAAAGAAAATATTTTATTTAAAATAAACTCTACTATTGTTTATAAATTCAAACAAACAAATATTAATTATTACTTTAATTGTAATTATTCTTATAGCTAAACTTATAACAATACTTTTTTTTTTTTTTTTTTTTAATATTAAGGTGACCACTTAGGTCCCCGGCACTTAGCTTTATTCAGATAAATATGATATTACAT